ACCTCACAGAGGAAACTCAGACATTGTTAGACCTATACCCAGATCCTTCCTTGTATTCAGAGACCTACCCACTGGAACCAGACTCTACTGCATCCAAATGACTTGGGATACATCTATCACCTTAGATTACCCCAAACACAAATGGAACTCAACACTGGGTGGATCTTGTACCAGTTACTTAACTTCTCTGAACTTCATAGTGCTTGGAACTTGGCAGAGTCAGATTACCTGGTGAGGGGATGGCTGGATGGAAGGAAGGAGATAAGATGAATAGGTCACAAACCATAACACTTGATACAGTGAAACATAAGGCCTGCCCATTTTTTCTGCTATATCCATCATCAACCAGAGAGGTATAGAACCAGAGGGGAAAGGAGGGTCCTCTCCTGGGCTACATCTCAGGAAATATGTTCTTATTGCTTATCTGCTAAGATTTCCCTCCTCAGCAGTCCATCTGTCCATGTCCCTAGGAGCACAGAGATAAGTATTTCTGAACACAGTAAAGATGTTTTTTCAAAATCTAAAGGCCTGAGGATTTGGGGGGCACAGCCTGTGTAGAAAGGGCAAATATCCTGAGATACAGCTAGAGATCCCAGCTCCACCTCAGCATGTGAATCAATTAGAATTTTCCCAGGCCAGATCCCTCCCAAGGTCCTGCCCTAGTTTTGGCTTTGTATTACCTTTCTGAAGCTAAAAGAATTCATGAAGCTGAGAAAACCCTGGGGTTGGCAATTCCAAGCTCAGAAGAATGGCATACACATTCAGGGTCTTTTTTTTTATTAGTACTTTAGAACCAAGAGTTCATTTACCTAAAGACAAAAGATGTGCACTGCTTGGTCCACAAGTGGGATAAAGCAGGAGTGCCCCATCAATTACCTTGGTGTTTGGACAACTGTTGTAGTGTTACCTTGATTCCTTTTTTTTTTTTGAGGCAGGAACCCCCTCTGTTACCCAGGCTGGAATGCAGTAGTGTGATCCTGGCTCACTGCAGCCTCAAACTCCCACAGGTGCATGCCACCACACCTGGCTAATTTTTTGTAGAGACAGGGTCTCTCTATAATCAGGTTACTCTCTGAGTAATCAGGCTGGTTTTGAACCCCTGGACTCAAGCAATTCTCCCGCCTCAGCCTCCCAAAGTGCTGGGATTACAGGAGTGAGCCACTGTGCCTAGCCTCGTCACCTCGTTATCATTCTATGAGGATGTACAGCCAAAGACTTAGCAGGCTAACAGGCTGTTAATTTCCGTCACATCCAGGATCTCTCACCAGCCAGCAAACCAGCTTCCTGGAGATATCAAGAGTGGCCTGTACATTTTATAAATCCCAAACTGTGCCTCGCACCAAAGAAGCAGAAAAAGGATCTGGCCTTGCAGAGCTCAGCCACCAGCCAGGAAAAATCAGTTTTTCTTTCTTTCTTCTTCTTCTTTTCTTTTTTTTTTTTTTAAGTAAAAGAACACTGTTGATGGGAAACAGAAAGAACAACACTACTATGCTAAGATTTATAATGAAAAAGCTCCCTCTACAAAAGACAACAGATTCCAAAGAGTATATACTATATAATTTCATTTACAGAAGTTCAAAATCAGACAAACATCTCCCATGGTGTTGATAATCAAGAGGTGCTTACCTCTCTATAAGAAGGAGGCAATAATAATCCGAAGAGGCATGAGGGTGGGCATTGAAGGTGCTTGATAGTTACTTTGTTCTGATCTGTGTGCTGGGTATAAGACTGTTCATTTTGTGATCATTCATCACATTACCACTTAATGATGTGTGTGATAATCTATATCTATTCCACACATCAACAAAATGATTTTTTGAAAAATCATTCTTTTTATAGACAGAAATTAGCTTATACTTACTGCTGCGTGCTTGCAGAATCAAATCCACGTACAATGGGCCAGAGACTTAAAAAACAAAAAACAAAAAAACCCAAACAAACCCATAAGCCTTTTGCTCACCTGAAATGGTTTTTTATGGTTTTCAAATTCAGTAAGAGGTTTCTTCAGGCAGAATTTCACTGAATTTCAGGGCCTAATCAGGCCTTTTTTTTTTTTTTTTTTTTTTTTTTTTTGGCACTTGGCCAATCTTTGGATGGGCCAAATTCTGCCTGTGGACCCAGAGACAGAACAACTAAGTAATCCTCAGGCCTCCTAGGTCTGACACAGAGGAGAGCAGAGACCCAGAGAGCAGAGGAAAAGCTAAGGAACTTTCTCCAAATTACACAATGAGTTGCTGGTGGGGGGCCTTGTGATTCTCAGTCCAAGGACTATCACTTTTCTACTACATCTCTTCCACAGGGGCCAATTAATAAAACTTTTCCTCTGGGGAACTGAGAAAAATGAGCCCAGTAAACTTCACTGGTCATTCTTTGCATACAAAGTACACAAAGGAGTTTACCAAGTTCCTCTCCAACAGGAAATCATTTGTCTCTAAGAGCCAGGAAGAGGAGGAGGGAAGTGCTGAGTTTGCAACAGGGCATTGCAACACAGCCCAGTGTTTTTGTGGAAACGATGTTCCCCTAATCAAAACACGGTTGCATAAATGGACTCACTCCACTTAGGAAAAAAAAAAGTTGTTTAAAGCCTATAAATGGGGACCACACAACCCTGATTAATTTTTAAAGTTCTTTCTCCACTTTCTTTTTTAGAAAGTAGCTAAAAATAAAGGCTTGAAACTTGAAATAATGTAAGCAAGTAATCACTCACACACACACACACACACACACACACACACACACACACACACACACACTCTGGGCTTTCCCCATATATGGCTGTGTTATTCTTCAGTCTTTGAAAAGGGCAAATGAAGAGATGGCCAACAACCAAAATAATCCTTCAGACATTTGAAAACGAGGAGAAAGAACTAGAAGAGTTGGTGAATGACAAACAATTGTGAGGCTCAATGGGGATAAATAACACTGAGAGGGATTAGTTGCCATAGCACTTTAAAAACATGGGCACATGCATTTTGACACTGGGCCCCTTCTATAAAGAGACTGTTTTGCCCTCTGGCCTCAGCACTGAGAAAACTACAACTGCAGTAATTTAACATAAAGGACTTAAAGAAGGAAACCAGTACAGGGGCATGACTGAAAATTTAATTAAGGCCCTTCTCAGTATAAAGTCTGTAAAGGAGATGAGGGCACATCTCAAGGTCAGAAGAAGGGGGAGACTTGGGAAAGATTCAAATGAGATACGAGAGCATAAATAGCAGAGGTCGGCTCGGGAGGTCAGCTTCCTTATGATAGATGGTTATTACTGTGTCTTTTGGGTCCTCCGTGAAATGTCTCTGTAGAGAAGATTAACGCATGTCAAAAAAAAAAAAAAAAAAAAAAGGCCACCGTGTGTGGGGGACGGTGGATGTGGGACACATTTTTATAGTGTTTTGTGGTTTTCAAGGCCGTGTCAGATGTAATCCTGGACGCAAAGTAAAGCACCTGCTTTTCTTGATGTGGAAACTGAGGCTCTGGGAGGCTAAGTGAACTCTACAAGTTCTTTTTTTTTTGTTTTTAGATGGATTCTCACTCTGTTGCCCAGGCCAGAGTGCAATGGCATGATCCTGGCTCACTGCAACCTCCGCCTCCCAGGTTCAAGCGATTCTCCTGCCTTAGCCTCCTGAGTAGCTGGGATTACAGGTGCACACAACCACACCCAGCTAATTTTTGTATTTTTAGTAGAGACGGGGTTTCACTATGTTGGCCAGGATGGGTCTCAAAACTCCTCTCCTCGTGATCCACCTGCCTCAGCCTCCCAAAGTGCTGGGATTACAGGTGTGAGCCACCACGCCCGGCCCACAAGTTCTATTATGGGTGGCTTTGTGCAAGTGGGCTGAGGTCCCAGCAGGAAGCAAAATCTCCCAATATGCAGGCCATGGATCTTTCGACTCACAAGACCTTTGAAAGAACATTTGTCAGACTGCCCAGTTTAGGTATGGACTGTGGCTCACCCACTAAGTCTCTGTGACCATAAAGAAGTCATTTCCCTCTTCTGATTCTTATTCTAAACGGAATATAACAGTGCCATCCTAGCTGGCAGAAGGTGGGTGGCGAGGAGGAAGAGACAGACAAGCATGAGCTGAGTCACTGTGCTCTCTGCACTCGTCTGAGTCTGTCCTTGCAAATCTCCAGGTAGGACTGGCGGGCACCATCACCATTTCACTCATGGGGGCAGCCGTCACATTACAGGAGAGAACACATACGTGGAATCTAAAAAAATGATTTCCAAAATGTAAGACTGGAAAACCTCTTCAATCTCCCGAAAATATAGTAATGAAAATGACTGAAGAGGCAGTATGAATTCTAAATGTTCATCCCACTGCCTTTTTCTTTTTAATCCCTAAGGGATGGAACTTCCTCATGATACTTTGGATTCTTTTTCTGAAAAGACACCCCACTTTCTGGTGACCCTGCATGCTTCTAGTGGTTTTCCCATGCCTGCCTATGAAGGTTTTCTACTTGGGTTCAGAGTCAATAATAATAACGAACAACAGCAAAGAAATAGCAGGTATTGTTTGTTGAGAGCCTATGATATATACTGTTGCTGAGCCCTTTCTAGCAACCATCCATAATCCATACAACTACCAGGTGAGGTCAGTATTACTTTCTCCACGTTATAGATAAGAAAACTAAGCCTCAGAGAAGTTTAGTGACTTGGCCAAGGAAGGCCATCTTAATAACGGCAGGGCTGGGATTTAAACCATTGTATGGCTGATTCCAAAGCATGTTTTTTTCCTGTTCCTATTGCATTATGAGGCCTCTAGTGAGTTTATAAAACGCATCAAAGACTCTAGGCAATGCTTCTCGTTTGTGATTTCTTCCCATCACTATCCTGCAGAATGGAATACCTTCTAGGTGGTTGGAAAGTTCTCCCACCGAAATCCCAGCTGCAGGGTAAATGGGTGGATATGAAGTGGGCTGGGCAGATGGAATGGCAAAGAGACCCCACATGCCTTCCCCCTGCACCAAAAGAATTGTGATTTCACTTCCAAATCACTAACCTGGTGAGGCACGAGCCCAAGAGAGGTTGGAGGCTCATTCATCCGATCGTCACTGCTGCTGGCAATGGCATAGCCCCTGAGGACAGGAAACAATCAGAGCTGCTCATTTAATCCAAGTTTAACACATGGGAGGATGATCTAAGCAGAAGTCTACATAAGATTCATAATGATATCTAAAATGCCCCTTGCTGGGCAGTGTAAGTTAGCAAAAAAATAATTTCCCTGGGACAAAGGGCAAGAAGAGTAATTTAAAAATGCACGGTTTGGAGTAAGAAAGACCTGAGCTTGTGACCATAGGCAAGTTGCCTAACTTCTCTGTGCTTCAGATCCATCATCTAGAAAGTAGGAATGAGGGAGCTCTGATTAATAAATGAGGAATCTACTATACCAATTGCCAGTGCAATGTTTGGCATATCAGAGGCCAATAAAAATTAACTCACTACGAAATAGTCTTATTAAACATCACAGAACATTTCTGCACTGAAAATTTGAAGAGGAAAATTTTCTAACCTTAACTTCTTGAGCTGATATAAATGGTAATGAAATGTAGGAAATAAAAGTGAAGAATGAATTGGGCAAAACTAATGCACCACTCTCTGAACAATGGAGTGATACTTCTGTCACCAAAGAGACGTGACACAGGACCTGGTGTTTAAACTATGACCAGGGAAAATGTGGCAGACGGATGGTCAGCGTCAAGGAAGCAGAAAGTCAGCTCTCAAAGATTTTGTCCCAAATACTTCCTGTCAGAGGATGGCAATAAACTTAAATGACAGATAGCTAAGGTGGACGACAAAGAGGAAGACAAAAAAGTCCTGCTTTTCATTTATCTCAGAGTACCCATACTAGTTACCTATACAGCCACAATTTTCAACTGCTGAGGAAAGCTTTGAGTCACACAATAAATAGAATATTCATGTTAATTTGCATATTGACTTTCTGAGAACTGGAAAAATAAATCTTTCAAAAATTTTTCTGCTGCCTGTATTGCAAACAACATAACAAAGTGATTAAACATAGTTTGGAGCCACATTGAGCTAAACCCTGGCTTTTCCATTTACTATGTTAATTTGGCCACTTACTTATCCTCACTATGCCTTGATTTCCCCATCAAAACTGGGACTAATAATAATAGTTCTTTCCTAACAGGTTTGCTACGAAGATTAAAGGAGGCCGGGTGCAATGGCTCACGCCTGTAATCCCAGCACTTTGGGAGGCCAAGGCGGGTGGATCACCTCTGATCACTGAGGTCGGAGGTTCAAGACCAGCCTGACCAACATGGCAAAACCCCGTCTCTACTAAAAATACAAAAATTAGCCGGGCATGGTGGCGTATGCCTGTAATCCCAGTTACTTGGGAGGCTGAGGCAGGAGAATCACGTGAACCCAGAAGGCAGAGGTTGCAGTGAGCCAAAATCGTGCCATTGCACTCACTCCAGCCTGGGCAACAACAGCAAAATTCTGTCTCATTAAAAAAATAATAATAAAAAAAAAAAGATTGAAGGAGGCAATATTTCTGAAGTGCTTAGACCAGTGCCTAGCACAAAGCAAGCCCTATATAAGCGTTGGAAAAATAAAATAAACCAAAATTTGTCCAAAAGGATGCAGAAATGTGGCCACAAAGGAAACGTGCCAAGTCATCTCAGCCCAAAGAACCAGACCTGCTTTTTCTAGTCTTGTGTTTTTGAGGGTAGATAAAGTAGTGAAATTCTCTGAAAAGTCAGACTGAGAAAAGGCCACAGGAGACATTGATGAACGACTGCCTACAAAAGCTTTGTTTAAATGCTCATCTCCCACTAGCAAACTCACCCTTCTGGATGCTGCAAAACAGATACCATCAATTCCACGGCCAGGGCTCCTGCAATCATGGCCAATCCTGGACGACTCACAGTGCACTGCTGGTCCAAGGTCCGGTCTCTGGTTGACTGCAAAGAAACAATCATTGGTGTGTGCTGAATGTTCTATTCCATTCAACTCTAGCTGTCTCAAGTATGAAATCCTCTGTGACAAAGCTTTAAATTATAACCAGATGCTCATTGTTAGCAAAGAACATCCAGCCTCAAGTACATCATTTCTTGAGATTATCAAGAAAACAAAATACACAATTTAAGTAACTAAATGAGGTAATATGCTAAAAAGGATCAGCAGCTTAAACAGATTGGGGGATATCGACCAAAAATGAGGGCTTAGCTGCCTCATATAAAGGAACTGCATCATGTGTTCCTTTACGTGACTCAATTCAGTTCTGTGTTTGGTAGTTAAGTGACAGAGACACAGAAAGGAACAATGATTAGAATAGTGCAAATGATTCTGCCCTGCCATTTTAACTAATACCTCAAAGTGACCGTGAGATAGGAGCAACAATTTACTATTATTTGCAGCCCTCAGTTCCAATGTTCCTCTCACAACATGGGCATCAACTCTCTGGGTGATTCTAGGGTTTACTACAAGTTTTTTTTTTTTTTTTCCTACAACATGGCTGTGAACACGAGTCTTTGCTGGTTCAACCAAAGAGAGTCTAACCATCCCACTCTGGGCAAATTAAAGAGGTTGTTAGGAATATTTTTGACTCTATGAAAATTTTACCTTATGAGCAAATGGGACTTTACTGTAAGGGACCACTAATCGTATTTGTTGACAATAACTAAATAACAAGACCAGCTGTATATTATAACACTATGACAGAGATCATCAAGCCATCCTTCTTCATATAAGAGAATGGTCATCTTCTTTTCTTTATATTGGGAGGACATAAAAGCCAGCCATCCAAAGGAGATATGAGTTATTAAGTGAAAAATTTTAAAACAAAGGAAAAATAGAGGGGAGGTTACAGAAAACATCTCTGCATTGCCTCACTGGAAATTTTTTATCTGTTCTGATAAAGGAACAGCCCTACATACAGACAGACTTGTGTGAAGTTCTGAAAGCCATAGAATCTTAATTTGTACAGTGTAGTCTTGCTGTTCAAAGCACTGTCGCACTTGACCCACTGAATTGTGAGTTGACAGGGCAAGTATTCTTCCCTCCCCTATTAGCATTGTAGGGAGAATACAGGACACTCAGTTAAATTTGAATTTCAGATAAATAAATTTTTAGTATAAGTGGGTCTTGAATATTGCATGGGACATATACTAAAAAATTATTCATTATTGGCCGGGCACGGTGGCTCACGCTTGCAATGCCAGCACTTTGGGAGACCAAGGCAGGGGGATCACAAGGTCAGGACTTTCAGACCAGCCGGACCAACATGGTGAAACTCCATCTCTACTAAAAATACAAAAATTAGCCGGGCGTGGTGGCACGTGCCTGTAGTCTCGGCTACTCAGGAGGCTGAGGCAGGAGAATCACTTGAACCCAGGAGGCAGAGGTTGCAGTGAGCCGAGATCATTCCACTGCACTCAAGCCTCAGTGACAGAGCGAGACGGTTTCAAAAAAAAAAAAAAATTCATTATTAACTGAAATTCAAAGTTAGCTGGGAATCCTATAATTTTACTTACTAAATCTGACAAGCCTACACACCAGTCCTATTTTGCAGAGGCAGCGGGAACCTAAGAGACTTTTTGGAATTACCTGGGAGGCAGTGTCAAGGCATTGATGGAATCTGATCTTTAGACTCCTAATTTGTAATGTTGTCTTGACTAAAAGCAGCACAGCAGACAATACTGAGTGCTACCAGGGATTAGTCTGCTGTGGTTTCCTCAATAAGCTTTCCAAAAATATAGTTTGTAGCCGCGTTTATATTGGTGAACAAGGAACAGCTGTACAGTTGATGACGCCAGTCAAGGTTCATAATGAGATAATGCCATCCTCCCCAAATTGGAGAATTCTTCTCTTTGTTAAAAGATAATATTTAAATAGTCATAAATGAAAGGGCCGAGTCTGTCTGCCTCAGCGCACAAGTTGGTGACAGGAAATATTTGGAACTAAAGAGAAATCCACTTACATCTCCTGGGGCCACCACATCATTGCAGAAATAGCAGCCAAGCTTGTAACCAGGGATGTTGGCAAAAAGTGATGAGCCCAGGAGGTCAGCAGATGCCACAGGGTAGTTTGGACACAAGTCCCCAGCTCCCTGCTGCTTTGGTTTCTTCAGGCCATGTCTCATGACAACAAATGTGTCAAATCCCAAAGCAGCATTGATGACCAGCTGCAGGTTTCAAGGAATAAAAGAGCAGAGTTAAAAGACACATATATTTGAAGCTGTGGCTAATTCCATATTTGCTCAACTTTTTAAAATTTATTTTTTGCATGTAAGTGTAATTAGATTATAAAAGTTAATGATGATAAAAGCTACCCACTACTGAGGGCTTATTAAGTACAAAAGACCTAATTATATCACAATTATCATAAATTATCTTATTTAATTTCATTTGAAACTCATAACAGACCAGGCACAGTGGCTCATAACCTGTAATCCCAGCACTTTGGGAGGCCGAGGAGGGCAGACTGTCTGAGGTCAGGAGTTCAAGACCAGCCTGGCAACATGATGAAACCCTGTCTCTACTAAAAATACAAAAACATTAGCCGAGCATGGTGGCATGCGCCAGTAGTCCCAGCTACTCAGGAGGCAGAGGCACAAGAAACGCTTGAACCTGGGAGGTGGAGGTTGCAGTGAGCCGAGATTCCACCACTGCACTCCAGGCTGGGCGACAGAGCAAGATTCTATCTCCAACAAAGAAAAAAGCAAACAAAAAAAACTCATAACAAACATTTCTTATTTATAGAGGAGGAAACTGAAAGTCAGAGAAGTTAGTTCTATAACTTGCCTAAGGTCACTTATCTGGCAAGAGGCAGGTGTATAAAACCAAGTCTACATAGTTCTCAAACACATTCTTTCTACCATTATACTATACTGTCACGTCCACATAGATTTGTTTTTATAACAGCTTTATTGAGATATAATTCACATACCATATAATTCACTCTTCATGTAGATTTTTTTTGGTATCCCACTAGCTGGAATAGCAAGCACATGCCACCATGCCTGCCTGGCTCTGCATAGTTGGTATTTTGTTTTGTTTTGTTTTTTGTTTTTGAGATGGGATCTTGCTCCATTGCCCAGGCTGGAATGCAATGGCGTGATCTCGGTTCACTGCAGCCTCAACCTCCCAGGCTCAAGTGATCTTCCTGCCTCACCCTCCCGAGTAGCTGGGAGCACCAGTGTGCATCACCACACCTAGCTAATTTTTTGGTTTTTTTCTAGAGATAGAGTCTCATCATGTTGCCCAGGCTAGTCTCAAACTCCTGTGTCAAGCAATCCTCCCAAAGTGCTAGGATTACAGATGTGAGCCACCATATCCAGCCCAACACATAAATTTTTTAAAAAACATTTTTTTCATTATACTATAACAACTTTTCATGGTTCTAATTTAACTTATTATCCCAAATTTCTGATAATATAGAAAGTTTGAAAAATAAAGGATAAACACACTACAAAAGAAAAAAATCACTCAACCCACAGCTCAAAAAATTATCATTAATAGTTTGGGGTATTTTTTCCTATTATTTTCTCTCTTTCTCTCCCATTCTCTCCCTGTCTTTCTCCCTTCTTCTTGCCCTCTTTCTCTCTCCTCTCCCAATAGACAGATAAGTAGATACATAGGAAAACATATATAAATATTTAACATAATTGGTATAAAATATATACAATATTGCATCTTCCTTATTTAACATAATGCGGCATTTTCCATCTTATTAAAAGTCCTTTGAAAACATACTGTGGCCGGGCACAGTGGCTCACGCCTGTAATCCCAGCACTTTGGGAGGCCGAGACGGGCGGATCACGAGATCAGGAGATCGAGACCATCCTGGCTAACACGGTGAAACCCTGTCTCTACTAAAAAATACAAAAAACTAGCCGGGTGTGGTGGCGGGTGCCTATAGTCCCAGCTACTCGGGAGGCTGAGGCAGGAGAATGGCGTAAACCCGGGAGGTGGAGCTTGCAGTGAGCTGAGATCTGGCCACTGCACTCCAGCCTGGGTGACAGAGCAAGACTCCGTCTCAAAAAAAAAAAAAAAGAAAACATACTGTGAATGGCTGCACACTATTCCATCATAGGTATGCACCATGATTTAGTTCACTATTCAACACTGTTGGCCCTCAAAGTTGTCATTGACCAAGTAGTGGTGAATAAGACCAAGTCTCTGTCCTCTTGGAGCTTACGTTTCAATGTAAGTACAGTATACCTTTCAGTGTAGAGTATCTCAAAAGATTATTACGAAAATTAAGCAGTAAATGATACCTATTACATTGGGTGATGGTGTGTGAGGTGAAGACAGAGTCTGAAGCAGAAGCCCTTTGGCACTATGCTACCAGGTCATACAAACCACATCTCTGCTCTGGGGAAGAGAAGGTTAGGGACACTCCTCCCTCTGAAGTGGTGGTGCATTAAATCATAAATCATAATTAGAGACAGTGCCTACCTTTCTCTTGCTTGCAGCAATGACAGCAGGAAGCCACCTGCTCTCCCTGGTGTCCATCAACAGGAAAATGACATCATGGCTTTCGATGAGCTGCTCCAGTTGCTCCACATCTCTGCGGGCTTGCTCCAGAGTGACACTGGAGAAGTTCACTGGATGCCCAGGCATGGGTATGCTCATGTTGAATCCTCTGGCATTCTAGGGAAACACCAGGATGTAGTCATGTCTGGATCAATGGTATAGGCAATATCTCACAGCCCACACTTCCCACAGCTGCCTGCACTTACTTGTGGTCACTTACATGAGATCTCCCTGTGCACTATTATGCTGCACCCTTCCCATGCCCGCTCTCTTCTTCACGTCTGCATCCTAGAACACCTTGACCTATCACCCCAGGGCCCTGAGGCAGGGCAGGGCAGCAAGCAAAGACATACGGATCTCAGTTCCAAAGTGGAGGGGGCTCATCCTACCTGAGGTAAGGACACTGGAGAAAGCTGTATCTTTGGCTCTTTCCAGTCATCCAAGGCCAAGAAACTTCATCACAGCACCTTCTGCCTACCCAAGTACCTCTGGTTTTTTTCTTTTCTTTTCTGTGTTTTGGGGCTTTTTGTTTTTTGTTTTTGTTTTCGAGACAAGGTCTTGCTCTGTCACCAAGGCTAGAGGGCACTGGCACAATCATAGCTCACTGAAACCATGACCTCTTGGGCTCAAGGGATCCTCCTACCTCAGCTTCCCAAGTAGCTGGGACTACAGGCACACATCACCACACCCGGCTGATTTTTAAATTTTTAGTAGAGATAGGTTTCACTATGTTGCCCAGCCTGCTCTCGAACTCCTCGGCTCAAGGAATCCTCCTGATTTGGCCTCCAAAGTGCTGGAATGACAGGCATAAGCCACTGTACCCTGCCTAAATATCTCCAACTGGGCTATCTCTTCCTATTTGCTTCCAAATTGCCCTCCCTTCTGTTTCCTCAGTGTTAAACATCTCTATATGGAGTGTTCTAGCAAATATAATTTGATCTAATACATTCACATTAGGTTAGAATGACTGATGATCTTGCCGTAATCCTTTCAGGGGTATATGCATTTTAAAAAACCTCAAATACAAAAAACTACTTGCTAACTTAGAGCCAAAAAAATCTACTTATGAGTATGTAGATATTTTTGTGAGGCAGAAGGAGTTACAGTGGGTGATGTCAGAGTGTGGGACAGAGTAAGGCTTCACTCTCTGTCCAAAAGTAGAAGCTGTCCAGCAACCTGAGTTCCCTGAATTGGGATTTTTTAAATGCGTTTTAGAACAGCTCTAAAATTTACCATCTACCCCTTGGTGACCGCATAATATTTTGGCATATTAACAGTGAGTCATATATGGGTGCTAATGAAGCTAGGGACACTGACTTTCCACAAAAGATGAATGTGTTCTAGAATCATAAACTGTACCCTTAACCCTGGTATAACACTGGCCATAGGGAAGTGTTTGAAAATATCGGCTTTTTCACTCATTTGCCAAAACCCCTCACTTACTGGAAAAACAACTCAAGGGACAGGGCAAGCAGATCTTTTTAAAAAGAAGTATCAAATTTGTAGATTGTGGATATTTTTTCATTATCTTCGACTTTAAACCTAATCTCTGGAATTCAAAAAGGAAGAACAACAATTTCAAAAGGAATGAAAAATAGAGTGGCAAGCAAAGCAGGAAAGGACATGAGGCAAAAAGGATTTCAGAAAGAAGAAAGGTGCACAAACATGTCTATTTTAACAATGAGACTAGCACAGCTATCAGGATCTCATTAATTAATTCATTAAGTATTGTGCACCTACCGTGTACCAAATGCTGTAATAAGCAATAATAAAAGCAATGACTACAGTAATAATCGCAATACCTGCAATACCTTACTGACATACTACAATTGACAAAGCATGTTAAATGGTGGTAGCTTGATCCAAAGAACTATTATGTATGTATTTTCATGACACCAAGATGGAAGCATAATCATGCAATACCAATTCTGAACTTTTGAATAATAAAGTAACTTTGCTAACCTAAATAAATCTCTACTTGCTAAAATTTCAGCCAGTAAGCTAACGTAAGAGCCCATCAGTTATGTCCACATCCCAGAGGCTGGAATTCAGCAACTTTCAACACAGTGGTTTTCTACTTGGCTGTATATCAGAACCACCTAGAGAGTTTAATGGCCAAGCTTTTTCCCAGACCATTTAAACGGAAATCTCTAGGAATGAGCCCAGGCACCAATATTTTCTAAAACTCCCCTGATGATTCAAAGGTGCAGCCAGGTTGAGGTATAATTTATATAAAGTTAAATACACAGATCTTACATGCACAGTTCAATGTATTCTGACAAATGAGAGATTAACCACTGCATACAACTATCAAGATATAGAACATTTCCATGATGCCAGAACATGCTCTTGTGTTCCCCCCCAGTCGGTCCCCACTTGTCCCCAGATGACAACTGATCTGACTTCATAAGCCATAGATTAGACTATTCTAGAACATATCACATAAATGATATGCTAGGGTATACAATTGTTTGTGTTTGGTTTCTTTTGCTCGGCATAATGCTTTTGAGGTCCACTCATATTGTTAAGTATCAATAATACATTCCTTTTGTGGTGTAATTATACCATAATTTATTTATCAGTTCTCCTGTTGATGGTGATTTGGGTTATTTCTAGATTTGGGCTGTTTTGAATAAAGTTGCTGTGGACACTTTTGTATAAGTATTTTCATGTATATATGTTCTCATTTCTCTTAGGTAAAGATCTAAAAGTACAATTTCTGGGTCACAAGGTAGGCATATGTTAAATTTCATGAGAAACAGTCAGATTTCCAAAGTAGCTATTTTACCAGTGTATAAGTGTTTTGCTTGCTCCACACCCTGACAACATTTAGCATTGTCAGTCTTCTTAATCTTAGCCATTTAAGTAGGTGTATAAGTGATATATCTTTCTGGTTTTAATTTGTATTTCCCTGATGACTATTGACATTGAGCATTTTTACATGTTCAATAGCCATTCATAGATCTTCACCATTAATTAAGTACCTGTTCAAGCTTTTTTCCCCTTAAAAAAAAAGTTGGTTTGTGTGTCTTGTTATTGAGTGGTAGGAGTTGTTTATCTTGCACTTTCTGGATAAAAGAGGACTGCACATGTCTTCTCAGTTTGGTCAGTTTTTTCCTTCTTTGAAAGGCATCTTTTGAGAAGCAGAAGTTTTAAATTTGTATAAAGTTAACCAAGTTACCATTTTTTGTTTATGGTATTTACTAGGTCCTAAGAAATCTTTATCACAAGACCACTAAGATGCTTTCCCCTAGAAACTTTATAGGGGCCATTCTGGGTGTCACTTAAAGGATCAGAGTATTCAATGAGGTCTCTCCACTCTGTATACAGGACTCCAGTGTCTCCCAGCTCCTGTGAGCTCTGGAATCTCCATTCTGCTCATAGCTCTCTGGTAGTGTGTTTTTGCCTGGACTGACTGTTGTGCTGCGAGTACACACAGCTCACTATCCAGTCAAAGACTCAAGGTGCTACCAGGCACTCCTGCGCACAGCTCCCTCATTTCTGGTACTATATCCTGCAAATTCCAGCCACCTCAGCTGCTCTGAACTCTGCTTGTTCCTTCAGCTCGCTGAGACCAAGAGTATCTCCCTGGGCTCCCACAGGCTATGGCATGGGCCAGAAAGTGCCTTCATGTAATAAGCTGGGACAAATCTTTCCTTCCCTCTGTCTGGGACCACAGTCTTTCACTACCTACTGTTCGCTGTCTGAAAAGAGTCATTTTACATATTTTGTCCCAGTGTGTAATTGTTTATGGTGGCAGAGCTAGTCCAGTATCCACTACTCATCAGGGTTGAAGCAGATGTCCAAATTCAGGTTTTAAAACCTCAAGTGTGGCTCCATAATCCAACACCTTTTTTTTTTTTTTTCTGTGAGACGGAGTCTTGCTCTGTCGCCAGGCTGGAGTGCAGTGGCGTGATCTCAGCTCACTGCAACCTCTGACTCCCGGATTCAAGCGATTCTCCTGCCTCAGCCTCCCCAGTAGCTGAGACTACAGGTGTGCGCCACCATGCCCCGCTAATGTTTGTATTTTTAGTAGAGACGGGGTTTCACTGTGTTGGCCAGGATGGGTCTCAATCTCTTGACTTCGTGATCCACCCGCCTCAGCCTCCCAAAGCACTGGGATTACAGGCGTGAGCAACTGTGCCCGGCCTCATAATCCAACATCTTATTGCCTCAAATAGCTATTTGATTTATAAAAGATCAGTTGTTTTCTTATTCAATTTACTCTTCCCCAAGATCAGGTATGGTATTTGTAGCAGAGCAGTTCTTTTCATGTAATTTTATCACAGCATTTTTAAAGGCACCTGGAAAGGGTCAATGTGACACCTATATCCTGGAGTAGAAGAGAAGGAATTAGTCAAAGAATACCACACAGATAAATTGCAAGGGTTTCTTATGAGCTGGACATTTGAGGTACAGGAAGATCTGGGGCCAGAGTACAGTTAGTTTGGGATAAATATATTTTAGAGCAAAAAACGAAAGTCAAACTCTCTAGTTCTGAGGGAGTGTTTTAAGGTTTTTCAGGCCAACTATTCAGTGAAACCACCCTGTCCTTGAGTTCTGTCACCCAGGAGAAGCAGGGTGAAGGGTGCTCATGACCTCCTGGTACACTTCTTTGTATTTCATGTGTTAGTCCATTTCACACTGCTATAAAGGAATACTTGAGGCAATTAAATGAAAAGAAGTTTATTTGGCTTGTGGTTCTCCAGGTTGTACAAGAAGTATAGTGCTGGCATCTGTTTCTGATGAGGGAAGCTTCCACTCATGGTGAAAGGCGAAGGGGGAGCGGGTGCATCACATGGCAAGGGAGGGAGCAAGAGAGATGTCAGGCTCTTTCAAACAACTAGCTCTTGCTCGCGTGAACTAAGAGATCGAGAACTCACTCATTAATGTGGGGCGGGCACAAAACCATACATGAGGGATCCACCTCCATGACCCAAACACCTCCCACCAGGCCCCACCTCCAACAGTGAGGATCACAATTCAACATGAGATTTGGAGAGGACATCCAAATCAAATCACTTCCTATGAATTTACTATTTCAAAGTTTAAACTTTTTCTTTCTTTCTTTCTTTCTTTTTTTTGAGACAGACTCTCGCTCTGTCACCAGGCTGGAATGCAGTGGTGCGATCTCGGCTCACTGCAACCTCCACCTCCCGGTTCAAATGATTCTCCTGCCTCAGCCTCCTGAGTAGCTGGGACTACAGGTGCGTGCCACCACACCCAGCTAATTTTTGTATTTTTAGTAGAGACAGGGTTTCACTAAACCCTGTTGTGTTGGCCAGGATGGTCTTGATCTCTTAACCTCGTGATCCGCCTACCTCAGCCTCCCAAAGTGCTGGGATTACAGGCATCAGCCACTGCGCCCGGCCCAAAATTTAAACATTTTAAAAGGGTCGCACCCATTATTTTTTTCTTTTCCAAGTCAAATATCACTCGACTTCAAGCATTGAGATGAGAATCTTGCAATAACAAGTAAGGGATAGCCCAAATTAGATAATCTTGCATTAATAAAACCAATCTTTCTAACTTTTCCAGGTAACCAGATATCTAGGAAGTCTGCATTTAACACAGTTCTTACCTTCAAAAGGCCACTTTTCTTCCCTGGAATGCTCCTCCTGGTCCCTGGCCTTTCCCACCACTCTCTGGTCCTTGCCTCCCTCCCCAAGACCCCTTCTGATCAATTCCTTCAGAGCTCGGACCAAATGTCACTTCCTTAAGAAGGCTTTCCCTGCCCCTGCCCCCTGACACCTGTCCAGGTCCTGCTCTTCTGTATTTCCTGAGCAATGTCTACTTATGCTTTTATTTAGTATTTCAATTATAATTCAATAAAATATAAGTTGTTTAAGGGCAGAACCATGTCTTGCTTACTTAGGTCGAGCCTTTTCTCCATAGCCTGGTAGAAAGAAGGTGATGAATAAGTATCTGTTGAATGAAGAAACTATACTAAATCAAGCATATAAGGAAAGCCCCTTAAGGCTGGCTAACCAATAAGTTAAATAGTTTCACAAGTATTTTTCATGAATGTGATGAATTACACTAGTACTTCGATGGGTTGTATATATTATCTACTATTATTTATAAGGCATGAAGAATAAAAGTATAGAAGACTTGGACCCTGGCCTGGGGGACTTACTAGTCCAACAAGGAAAACAGAGTAACACGATATAAGTGTGAAGGAAGAGGCTTGATGCCGGAGGGCTGTTTCCAAAAACAGTTGGACTTGCTCTCTCAGGCCCAGCATGGCAGTCCTTGCTCCCACCTCAGCCTTCTCTTCTTCCTCATCTTCTTTGCCCTCTATGTTGCAGCCACCCTGGTTTTCTTTCAATTCCACAAAAGCACCATGCTCATCCTACCTCAGGCATCTGCACAGACAGCTCCACTACCCTCAGCCTAACTAACTCCCACTCATCCTTCAGGGGTTTGTTTCCTCAAAAGTCTTCCCAGTCCACCCCTCGTCTAAGTCAGGCCTACCTGTTATATATTCTCATGGCAACTGAGCTTCTGCTTCCTGCATGTATTACAATGATAAGTATTTGTGAAATTATTTGTTAATCACCATCCCCCACTAGACTTTAAGCTCCACATGTCTGTCTAGTTCCCCTGTCCCTGGAACATAGTAGGTCTTAAATACACTACTTGACATGCAAGTAAGTAATAAAACAACTAAACAAACAGTGGGAAGGGGGAACTGTATTGGGTCACTGATAATGACTAGGATTTGGGTAAACAAAAATTTGAGGCATCTAATAAGTGACAGAGCTCAGGTTCAAAGCTAGGTCTGTCTGGGTCCTAAAGGGAATCCATAATACTCTCCAATAATAGATTGGATTATTCCTTTTTTTTTTTTCGTGCTAGGGTCTCACTAGGTTGCCCAGGCTGGTCTCGAACTTCTGACCTTAAGCGATCTCCTCCCACTTCAGCCTCCCAAAGCGCTGGGTTTACAAGCTTCAGCCACTGTGCGCAGCCTAGACTGGATTATTCTTCCCAACTAGGCACCTCCTCCCTCTAGTAATATTATATATCCTCACTCTTTGCAACATGACCTTTGCAAGACCTCCTACTAGGAGGACTAATGTCAATGACTTTGGGCCTGGTCCTGTGACTTGCTTTGGTAACAGAAATGGAAGACATCACACTGTACCATTGTTGAGCTAAGACTTTAAGGCATAATAATCACCAACCCTTTTAAGCTTAAACCTTCTACCATAGGAAGAGTAGGACACAAATGACTGTTCCTCCTTTAGCCTAGATTTTGAAAATAACAAATACAATGGACTGGAACCTGACTCCAAGTTATGTGGCTTATTAAGTTCAGCCTAGTGACACAGCTGAACCACAGCCAACCTGCACATCCATGAACATGAAATAAATGTTTGCAATTGTAAGCCACTGAGATTTTGGGATTGCGTGATATGCAATATTGTCCCAGCAGAAATCTAACTAATATGGCTCCTCAATGACAGGGCTGCAACTTATTTTTTTCAGCATCTAGCACATAGCTGGCTACATAGCGGGTGGTGAATCAATACTGCTAAACCCAATAAATGATGTTCATCAGGGACTCTAGTGAAATGGATGAAAACATTAACAATGCTTCTAAAGCAAAGATTTTTAAATGGATGAATCTAATACAAAGTGACTAAAGAGAGAAACTTTGAGAAAGTGGTCTTTTTTTTCTTTTTGGTTAGGACTGAGAACCTCTTCTGGCACTTTAAGTATAAACAAATGCTTTGGAGACACCTAATCTAACTCCTGTCAGATAAATTGATTAAGTATTCAAGAGGCAGAATATCGTTTGCTGGTTGACCTTAAAAAAAGAAAACTGTCAAGATTTTAAATGAAAGGAGCTGAAAGACTTTTCTCTTGTTATCTGGTATTTCTAATGATATAACTCAAAAACCAGAAGCAGCTAGAGCAAAAAGCTAAACTTTCAGCCCAATCTTTCTTCTGCATGAAGACTTGCATTCAATTTAATTTCATAAATCTGTACTAAGTAACTACCAAGTATTCTGGTGATAGAGGAAAAATAGTATCTTAGATTTGAGCCACTGCAAATCTCTTTGGAACCAGGCAGGATATAAAAATATATACACTCCTAAATTCCTCAACTTAAACTCATAATGCTTTGCAACTTACAAACCATTTCTTCATACATTCGTCATTTCGTTTTCACAAGAATATGTGAGAAAGATTAATTATTATTATTATATTATTTAGACAGGGTTTTGGTTTGTCACCTAGGCTTGAGTGCAATGGCTCACTGCAGCCTTGACCTCCCAGGCTCAAGCAATCCTTTTGTTTCAGGCACCAGCGTGGCTGGGACTACAGATGCACACCACCACCACACCTGACTAATTGTATTTTACAGAGATGGGGTCTCACTATGTTGCCCAGGCTGGTCTCAAACTCCTGGACTCAAGTAAGCCTCCTGCCTTAGCCTCCCAAAGTGCTGGTGAGAGGTGAAACCAGCTGGACTTCCTGGGTTGAATGGGGACTTGGGAGAACTTTTCTGTCTAGCTAGAGGATTGTAAATGCACCAATCAGCACTCTGTAAAAATGCACCAATCAGCGCTCTGTGTCTAGCTAAAGGATTGCAAATGCACCAATCAGCACTCTGTAAAAACGCACCAATCAGCACTCTGTGTCTAGCTAGAGGATTGTAAACACACCCATCAGCACTCTATAAAAACACACCAATCAGCACTCTGTGTCTAAAGGATTGTAAACCCACCAATCAGCACTCTGTAAAAACACACCAGTCAGTGCTCTGTGTCTAGCTAAACGTTTGTAAACACACCAATCAGCACTCTGTAAAACGGACCAATCAGTACTCTGTAAAATGGAACAATCAGCAGGACATAGGCAGGGACAAATAAGGGAATGAAAGCTGGCCACCCCAGCCAGCAGTGGCAACCTGCTCGGGTCCCCTTCCACGCTGTGGAAGCTTTGTTCTTTCACTCTTCACTATAAATCTTGCTGCTGCTCACTCTTTGGGTCTGTATCACCTTTAAGAGTTATAACACTTGCCGCGAAAGTCTGCGGCTTCATTCTTGAAGTCAGTAAGACTATGAACCCACCGGAAGGAAGAAACTCCAGACACATCTGAAGGAACAAACTCCAGACATACCATCTTCAAGAGCTGTAACACTCACCGCAAAGGTCCGCAGTTTCATTCTTGAAGTCAGCAAGACCAAGAACCCACCAGAAGGAACCCCACAAACCCACCGGAAGGAAGAAACTCAGGACACATCTGAAGGTACAAACTCCGGACACACCATCTTTAAGAGCTGTAACACTCACCGTGAATGTCTGCAACTTCATTCTTGAAGTCAGTAAAACCAAGAACCCACCAGAAGGAACCAACTCCAGACACACTGGGATTGCAGGTTATGTTTTTTTATCCCTCTCTCAGATGAGGAAACAGAGGCTCAGCCACACGGTGAGTGGCTGGTAGAAAGTGACAGATGTCTGATTCTCTTTCTTCAATGCCACAAGGGCCTCATTTCCCAAGACTTAAACATTTATAGATGTAACAGAAAACCTCTGCAAAAGCATCAACATACCACACCGGGGAATATTTTCTGGAGCCGGTCTGCTGCAGCCAGAGCCTTGGGCTTACCACCCGCTAGGCAATCTTCAAACTCATAGAGAGGCTGCCTCACAGGATTGGAGTAGGAGATCTTGGCATTGTCCACAAATGTGATGTGTCTCACGCCCCAACCCTGTGTGGAAACAGGAGATCATGGTGTGTTTCTGATGAACATTTCACAGGGTGCTGTCTCTTGAAATCTCAAAAGGAATATTGGTTTGGAGAAGCCTGGGAACCTCAAAACACAAGAAACTTCAGAAACTGAATTGTGCAAATTCAGGTTACGATAAACAGAACGTTGACTTTCCTTAAAAAACAACATAATTATATACTCAGTGCCTGGCTTACTGGAGCAATGAGACTAAAAAATGTCAGAGTGGGACAGACTAATAATTCATTATTTTTGACAGTGTCACCAAAGATTTGGAGGTGAATCCCATAAGAATTGTCCATGCTGTCATTTTAAAAAGATTAGCAATAGACCATAAATGTCCTTGATTTCCCTTAACGAATAATTAAATATAAATAACAAACTACTCTTGAAGCTCATTTAAAGCCTGAATGAACTCCTCAAAAAAATGATTCACAAATTATTTCCCACTGTATGATATTTTGGAACATTTTGTACCATTTCTTCAAAAGACAAAGCCTTCCAGCCTGGGGCACAGAGCAAGACTCCGTCTCAAAAAAAAAAAAAAAAAAAAAAAATCTGGAATTTAGGGAACAAGTCTATATTCTTAGAAATAGTTTTCACGGTTTTATAGGCTTCAGTTATGTCTCCTATAACAGTTTTATAAAACCATACAATTTTAAAGGTAGATGGGATCTCTAAAATCCTTAGTCCAATTACTTTGTTTTACAGATATGGAAACTGATGCCCAGGAAAGATAAGCGATTTGCCTAAGGGATACATCTGGTTAATGGTGGGAATGAATGAGCTCTCTAGAGTTGCAACCAAATGAAGTTGCCTACTTCTTGGGGTAGGGTACAGTGGGTATATTTTAGTAGATGATAAATAAGCATACGGACCTAAGAGATGTCCTGCCATGACTGGCTATAAGGCTAAGATTCTGCTGTCTCTCTTATTTCATTATCTTTCCATTAGAAACTGAGAGACTCAATTAGATTGAAGGTTTCAGAGGTCCAGCCCTCGAGGACCCAAGATTCGTTTTCAGCGTTGAGCACAACAGGCCAGAATCTGCCTTTTATAACCATAGGTTAGACGGGCTGTTTTGAAGCCCACTGGTAACCTTTTGGTCTACCCACCCAGTTTTGTAAATTATTTTCATCATCTAAGCAACCTACCATGGAGGGAGAATAAAGTCACTTGTGCTTGCTTTGGGAATGTTTATTTCTGAAGTATTTTTGCATTCCTTAAAGCAACTGATGAGTGGATAGCAAGGAAGGCAGTCTGGGAACGTGCTGGGTACTGGGAAGAAAGCCAGATACATTACAAACATGCCATAAGTTAGTCACATGCAGGTGTATTTGCACAAACTTAACTTTTGGTTTCCTGGAATGCTACACAGTTTAAATGGCTAATCTGCAAAGATTAAAGAAAATCACAATACTCAATGCTGGTGAGGATGTGGTAGGGAGAAAATCATCCTACTGATTGAGAATGTTAAAGTGGTCTAATCTTTCTGGAAAGCAATTTGGCAGTATGTTTCTAGAATCTTAAGAATACCCATATCCTATGACCTATTTCCAGCAATTTATCCTAAGAAGTAATCTGACATACTGACCAAGATGCAGTCACAAAGATGTTCTTTGCAGCACAATTTACGATTGTAAAAAATTGGAAACAATGTTAATGCTAAACATTAGGAGAAGGGTTTAGTAAGTTATGTTTCATCATATAAGAAGGCATATTCTACAGTCATAAAGCTTTAGCAGACATTGCAGTGAACTCGTGCAGTCCCAACTACTTGGGAGGCCGAGGTGGGAAGATCACAAGGTCCAGTCCAGCCTGGGTAACAAAGCCAGATTCTGTCTCAAAAAATAAAAAGAAGACCTCATAGACAGGCATAAAATGACATGTTAATTGGTAACAGCAAAGGACATTATTATATATCTAATAAAGGACATTATATATCTAATAAAATGTTAAAATACATATTAAACACTGAAAAGTAACAAATGAAAAAGTAGTAGGAAAATGAGTGTCTTCTTTTCTGCTTTATGACTTTTATACTTTACAAATTTTCTATAATGGCTTTATGTTGACTTTGCAATTTTGAAAAATGTAAGGAAAATCTAAGCATCTAATAATTCTAGAACCTAGAAAAAGACAGTAAAATAAATTCCACAGAAGAAAAAATTAATAAAGACAAAAGTAGATATTTATGAATCTGAAAGCAAAATGAGACAGAAAATAAAAATTATAGAATAAATAAAGTAATGCTCCAAAAAGACTGATAAAATAGACAGGCTTCTCTAGCAAGGCTGAATATGAGAAAAAAAGAGAAAACACAAATATACAACATTAGGAATATGAAAAGATTTTTTAAAAGATAAAAACAAGATTTAAAAAATAAGAGAATACCATATATATTTTATATCAATTAATTTTTAAAGCCAGAAAAGCAGTACAAAGTCTAAAAAGGTGAGTCAACCCAGAAACATATGTAGAAGTTCACAGATTCCCAGCACCCCCACTGCCTCAACCAACAAAATTCTTAAATGCATCAGGCCCAGACGGATTTATAACTGAATTTTACTTAACCATCAAGGAACAGATAATTCATTTATTTAAACTGTTCTGGAGCTTAAAAAAGGCAGAACCTTTAAGTTTATTTTATAAAGCTAGCATAATGTAGCTATAAAATATACAGATAGAACAAGGAATAATATGATGATAAACCAATTTGACTTATGAAATGAGATGTAAAATTTATTGATTAATTGATTGGTTGACTGAGACAGTGTCTTGCTCTGTCTCCCAGGCTGGAGAGCAGTGGCACAATCGTAGCTCACTACAGCCTCAAACCTCCTGGACTGAGGCAATCCTCCCACCTCAGCTCCCGAGTGGCTGCAACTACAGGCATGCGCCACCACAGCCTGGCTAATTTTTGTATTTTTTTTTTTTTTGTAGAGATGGGATTTCGCCATGTTGTCCAGGCTGGTCTCGAACTCCTGGGCTCAAACGATCTACCCACCTTGGCCTCCCAAACTGCTGGGATTGCACGTGTGAGCCACCGTGCCCGGCCGAGATGTAACATTTAAAAACAAAACATTACTAATTGAATTCAAGGGTATATGAGAAGAATAAGATACCGTGTACAAATAGGGTTTATTCTAGGAATGCTCAACATTAGAATACTTTGTCTTGATAAACGTAGTTAATAAAGCTCAACATTTCTGATATAAACATGTGGAAGCAGAAATCAGCTTCTTTAAATTATAAAGAACACTTACCAGAAACCAATATCAAAATTAAAGGTAAAAACAAGAGGCACTCTCATTAAAGTCAGCAACAAAACAAAGATAACAACTCTCACTGCCATTCGTCTACATTACTGTGGAGTTCTACCCAGTCTTATAAGACAAGGAAAAGAAAGATATAAGTGTTGGTGAGGAATACTATTAAGCTACAAAAGAATAAAAAACTCTTAGAACTAAGAGAGCTTAGAAAGATGGCCAAAGATAAATATGCAAAATTCACTATTTTTCCTACATCCCAGTAATAGTCAACTGGAAAGTTTAATGGGAGAAAATATCTCTAAAGGAAAAAACATCATTAAATATGTAGAAATACCATATTTAAACTAAATTAGATACATGCAAGGCCTATATAAAGAAAATACTACTGAAAGACAAAGATGATCTAATTAAGAGATACACTATGCTTCCAGAACTAAGGATTAATGTCATAAAAATACATCAGTTCCTTCTAATTTATCTATAAATTCATTGTAATTTCAACTAAAACAGTGAGTATGAATATAGGAATAAAAAAATAGATCAATGAGTCAAAATAGAGAATCCATAAAGAGACTCAGGTATGTAACGGGGTTTAGCATTTGATAAAGACAGAAAAATGATTTAGATTACTGAATAAATGCCATTAAAACAACTAACAATCCATTTTGTGCAAAAGTAGCTAGATCTTTACCCCTCATCATATAACCAAAAAATTTCCATATTCATAAAGCTCTAACATAAAAACAAGAGTTCCATAAGCCACAAAGGAAAACACTGACACATATAATAACATAAAGCTGAAAAAAACTTTTATATGGCTAAAGATACCTTAGATAAACTGAGAAAAACATTTGCATCATAATACAGAAAAAAGGTTAATTGCCCCAATAAAAAGAACTCTAAATCAATAAAAGACACAACCCAAAGAACATGAATCAAAGAAATAAAACTCACAAAAGAAATAAAATTAAACTCACCCTTGCTAATTAAAGAAATGCAAATTCAAACAATAAATGTTACTTAACTGACTGAGATTTCAAAAGTTGACATATCCAATTTTGGCAAGAGTGTGGAAAAAAGTTCTATGTCTCATATGTGTAACATTTTTGGAAGGCAATTTCGTTTGAAAAAAAATTTTGACCAGGCGTGGTGGCTCACACTTATAAACCCAGCACTTTGGGAGGCCAAGGCAGGCAGATCACTTGAGGGCAAGAGTTCAAGACCAACCTGGACAACATGGCAAAACCCTGTCTCTACTAAAAATACAAAAATTAGCCAGGTGTAGTGGTGTACACCTGTAGTCCCAGCTACTCAGGAAGTTGAGGCAGGAGAATCGCTGAACTTAGGAGGCGGAGGTTGCAGTGAGCTGAGATCATGCCACTGCACTCCGGCCTGGGTGACAGAGTGAGGCTTTGTCTCAAAAAAAAAAAAAATTAATGACAAACAAAAATAAAATATTTACATTCAAATTTTAAACTCTCTCTAACATAGCAATTCTGTGACTAGGGCTTTCTTCCTAAAATAAAAATAAAATCCTATGGATGAATAAACATTCAAGTATAAGAATGTTCTCTAATAGAGAACAGTATTTAATAGAAAAAAATAGAAAGTAACCTGAAATTCATTAAATAAAGAACATAGTCATACAACAAAATACCACATATACATACTATGGAAACACAGAAAGGTAGCCACAGTCATGTTTCTATCTAGTTAAAAATAAAAACCTGTTATAGATAGTATGCTATGATCTAATTTTCATAAATATAAATAAATATCAGCAAAGATAAACATTTCTCTATATTTAGATATGTCTACAATAACATCTGGGAAACAGGCTGCATACTAATCTACAAAGTCAGCTTAACAGGAAATGGGACTTGCAATGGGTGTGGAGGACTTTCTGTTTCTATCTGATGATAAAAGCTTGTATTTCTTTTACACTTAAAAAGATAAGAAAAGGAAAAAGGAAGGGAGGGAGAGATGGAGGGGATGGAGAGCTAGGAGATGGAAGGCAATCATGAAGAGTAAAACAAGAAGAGAAGCTACAATTTCAAAGGTGCCATTTGCACCCCCCACCTCCTACTTACCATCAACGTCCTAGCTACATTGCAACCCAAGGTGCCGGCTCCAAGCAGCAGACATTTGACAGACACAACCTTGTCCAAGTCTAAAGTAGGAACCAATCTCCAACACATCAGTTTGAGATTTAGATCCACTGATGACTCAGCTAACCTAGAAAAGGAGAGATTTACTTATTCAGTCTCTCGTTTGTGCAATAATCTTGTTCTGAAAGATTTCAAGTGGCTATGTGAGAAAATAAGAAATAATAAGGAAATTGGGATCAAATGAAAAAGAAAATGAAGCTGGAGGGTAAGCAGGGAGGAGAAAGGTTCCCCCCAGCAGCATGCTGTTGGAGTCCTCTGCAATGAGGGGGCCACAAATTTGATACTGAGTTCCAGCAGCCAAGGTGAAAAGGGAAGAGCATGACCAGTTATAGGAATCATGGTGTCCATGAATAAAAATACACCATTTGATTAAGAGGAAAGTTTTTCCTAGTACTGAAAACAGAAATTTCTCTCATATCTCCTTAATAAAGAATGCACTCAGGCCAGGCAGTGGCTCACCCCTGTAATCTCAGCACTTTGGGAGGCCGAAGCGGGTAGATCACCTGAAGTCAAGAGTTCGAGACCAGCCTAGCCAACATGGTGAAACCCTGTCTCTACCAAAAATACAAAAATTAGCTGGGTGTGGTGGCAGGCACCTGTAATCCCAGCTACTCAGGAGGCTGAGGCAGGAGATTCGCTTGAACCCGGGAGGTGGAGGTTGCAGTGAGCCGAGATCATGCCATTGCACTCCAGCCTGGGCAACAGGAGCGAAACTGTCTCAAACAAACAAACAAAAAGAGTGCACTCAGATTCGCCCTTAAATACAATAGTGGTTTCCATGAAATAATTCTTCTAATATCCTTCAAAGTGGGCCAATAAGGGCTGGGCGTGGTGGCTCATGCCTGTAATCCCAGCACTTTGGGAGGCCGAGGCAGGTGGATCACGAGGTCAGGAGTTCAAGACCAGCCTGGGCAACACAGTGAAACCCTGTCCCTATAAAATACAAAAAATAGCTGGGTGTGGTGGCGTGTGCCTGTAATCCCAGCTACTCAGGAGGCTGAGGCAGGAGAATTGCTTGAACCCAGGAGGCGGAGCTTGCAGTGAGCAGAGATCGCACCCTTGTATTCCAGCCTGTGCAGAGCAAGACTCCGTCTGGGGCACAGGGAGAAGTGAGCCAATAGGACCAAGCCAGAGGACAATGCATAAAGGACTGAAAGACAGTACAGGTACACTGGTGGTCTGAGAGCATGAGCTTGAAAGAAGAACAAAATTTAAAATGTCTAGAACAGATGAACGGTCTGCCCTTCAGGATATGCATTGTTAATATTAATTCTCACAACCAAACTTCAATTAAAGAGCAGGATAACACATGGTAGCATGACTGGCACCCCCTGGGCTGAATTACACAATGTTGTGTTGGCCTGACAGAATTTGGTGTGTGTCTTGGTTACAACAAGCCTGACTGGAGAAAACAGCTTCCCAAATCTACCTTTTAGGGTCCATACATTCACTGAGGTTCACCATCCTTGGTCCCATGCCTCCTTTCTGGTTCTTTTCCCATCCAACTGCTTTAGGACAATCTTAAGACAAATAAAACACAAAGCTTAATGAAGGAGGGAAGAATAAAAACAAACAGATCAAGCAGCGACCTTGTATAAAAAGGATCGACATTCATAATGGCCCATGCATTGACAAGTTTTTGGTTTGCTTCCTTCTAAAAGAGACCTGAGGGCCTGAATTTCCATGGACTTGCTACAGTTGCCTCCCCATCTTTCTCAACTACTGGGAGTCTTGTTTAGGGACCATCAAACCCAAGCAATCTTCCTGTACAGGAGCTTTTGAAATAGTCCTCAACTCTGGCCCAAGGTGCCTCAACTTTCACTGTTACTGGAAGTTGCTGGGGAAAAAAAAAAAAAAGAAAAAAAAAAGACAGTCTTATCTGGGGTAGGTATAACCCCACTGAGGCTTCTATCTAAGCAAGCCAAGCCAATGTAACTGCAGCACACCTTCACTGAAGTTCCTATTGGGATGTGAATCTTTAAATTCAGTATGTACCTTCTGTTGCTCATCCTTACCATGTCCCCCTGCTCAGCCTTTCTGTCACTGCACCTGTGAGCAGATCATAGTCCAAGGTGACTGTCCTTTGATTAAGCTGCCCTTTCCTTTAAGCTCATCTTTATCCATTCAGAACTTTCCCTTCCCTGACTTCTCCCTTCCCCGCTGCCCTTTTAATCCCTGCTATGGGAGCCTCTGTAACTCCAATTAACTCCAATTCTAGCAGTTCCCAAAGTGTGTCCTATTCAATAATCTCAGAGGATAAGGATCCTGTAGCTAAACAGACTTGGGAAATGCTTCTATACTTATATCTATCTTCTATCTCCAGCCCCCCAATACCACTCAAACCTGGCCATTCACATGGCACATGAGGGAGATAAAAGCTCTGAAAAACCTGCAGTACAGAACCCACGTGATTTGATTTGGCTTTGTGTTTCCCGAACTTACATGGCTCTCGATATCTCCCTTCATTTCCCTGCATACCAATTACAATCTCAAAGGAAACACTGCCCTATTCTACTGTTGCAAAATTCTCTTAAACATCTCAATTGCTTTCTAGGACACGCCTGCGTCCTTCTCATGTTAATGAAAGCTCTGCTTGCCTTGGTGGAACCACAGCCTTGTAAATCTTGCTAGTGGATCCACCCACCCTCTTGGGCTCCCTACATCTCAGGACCTATGCTGCTCCCCTTTTCTCATTGAATTCCTACTGCTCACAATAAAGCCTGAACTCCTAAGCAAGAAATTCACCCCGCCACAGCCTACACTTCCAGCATCACCTCCAGTCTGCCTTAAGCAACAGACTCTGCAGGAACAGAAACTCCTTGACTTGAAATTAAGATGTATGGGACTGGGAGGGGGAATTTTAATTTTGTTTCTAATTGTACGCTGGTTTTTTCTTTTTTTGAGACAGAGTCTTGCTTTGTCGCCCAGGCTGGAGTGCAGTGGCACGATTTTGGCTCACTGCAAGCTCTGCCTCCTGGGTTCTCGCCATTCTCCTGCCTCAGCCTCCTGAGTAGCTGGGACTACAGGCGCCCACCATCACACCCGGCTAATTTTTTGTATTTTTAGTAGAGATGGTGCTTCACCGTGTTAGCCAGGATGATCTCGATCTCCTGAGCTCGTGATTCACCCGCCTCAGCCTCCCAAAGTGCTGGGATTACAGGCGAGAGTTACCACATCCGGCCTGTACACTGGTTTTCTTTGTCCATTCTCCTACTTTTGAATTTCTATCAAGATCGCAATTTTCCTTTCCTTGGGAAACTTTTTAGCTTTTGACATTAAAAAAAAAAAATAGTATTGCCCAATATAATTATGGGACATAGAAGGTATTGAGATTCCCTTTACACGATCTTTTGTTTCTGGGATAGGATGACCAATGAGAAACCATAGGGCCAATTATCCTTGAAAGCTACTTGGGCCCCAGTTTGGCTGGGGGTATCATTCACAGCAAGAAGCCAGAAAGCAAACGTCCTTCCCCATTTTAAATTGGGCACTCTAATGCAGTATTTTTTAATGCCATGAAAAATTAAAACTGAAAAAATAGAGTTTTCTTGTTTGAGACAGGGTTGTGCTATGTTGCTGAAGCTATTCTTTAACTCCTGGGCTCAAGTGATCCTCCAGCTTCAGCCTCTGGAGCAGCTTCGATTACAGGCATGGGCCACCACACCCAGTCAGATTTGAGTTTCATAAAGAGGTTAAGACTTCAGAATTGTTTTTCTGTGGGGAAAAGAAACAGTTCCCACCTGCTACTAATTGATATTTTGTTTGATTTTATTACTATTCTTAGATTGAATTAAAAATGTGTCTCTCAACAGCAAAGACATGGAATCAGTTTAAATGCCCATCAGTGACAGACTAGATAAAGAAAATGTGGTACACATACACCATGAAATACTATGCGGCCACAAAAAAGAATGAGATCATGTCTTTTGCAGGAACCTGGATGGAGCTTGAGGTCATTATCCTTAGCAAACTAGTGCAGGAACAGAAAACCAAATATTGCATGTTCTTAGTTATAAGTAGGAGCTAAATGATGAGAACTCATGGACACAAAGGGGAACAACAGACACTGGAGCCTACTTGAGGGTGAAGGGTGGGAGAAGGGAGAGGATCAGAAAAAATACTAGGTACTAGGTATTAGTACCTGGGTGATCAAATAATCGGTACAACAAACCCCTGTGAAACAAGTTTACCTATATAACAAACCACATATACCCTGAACAGAAAATATAAGTTTTTTTTTTTTTTTTAAATGTGTCTCTGATACATAGCACAGGAATTTGACAAGAACTACAGAATCATAGCCTAGTACTGTCATCCATAACTCCAGCCTAGGTTTTCTCTTGTTACAGGTAAGAAATTATTAGACAAAAATAAAACATAATTTCAATTAAAAGCTCTCTATACTCAAAAGGTAACAGATGCTGGGCTCATGTCTGTAGTCCCAGCTACTTGGGTGGCTAAGGCAGGAGGAAAGATTGCAGGAGGAAGGATTTGGCTCAGGAGTTCAAGGCCAGCCTGGGCAACATAAGAAGACCTCATCTCTCAAAAAAATAAATAAATAAATAATAAAGGCTATAGCCATTTCTAAGAAAATCAGATGCTCCTTAAACTTAATAATGAAAAAAATACCACATATGGCAATAGTATTTGATTTACCATACCTGCCTCCAAATAATCTATACCGATAAGACATACACCAAATTAAATGATAAATATATAATACATATAAAAAATACATAAATATATATATATGTTTTTTGAGACAGAGTCTTGCTCTCTTGCCAGGCTGGAGTAAAGTGGCACTTATCTTGGCTCACTAAAACCTCCGCCTCCCGGGTTCAAGCAATTCTCCTGCCTCAGCCGCCTGAGTAACTGGGACTACAGGTGCGCGCCACCACGCCTAGCTAATTTTTATATTTTTAGTAGAGAGACGGGGTTTCACCACGTTGGTCAGGATGGTCTCGATCTCTTGACCTCATGATCCGCCTGCCCTGGCCTCCCAAAATGCTGGGATTACAGGCGTGAGCAACTGCGACTGGCCAAGAAAATATTTTTTAGGGAAAAATTGGGGGCTGTCTCCCATAGTGGGCAAGCAGGAGCAGCACAGGAAAAACCAGAGTTAAGATGATGGAATCTCTATCCTCAGCAGTGTCTGCCATCTTCCTCCACCAGGTGCTAGAGCTGTAACACACCATGAGGAAGCAAAAGAAGACATAGGATATTTAAAATAATACTCCACGACTGCACAAGGTAGCTCACACCTGTAGTCCCAGCACTTTGGGTGGCTGAGGCTAGAGGATTGCTTGAGCCCAGGAGTTGAAGACCAGCCTGGGCAACCTAGTGAAACCCTGTCTCTGCAAAAAATACAAAAATTAGTCAGGTGTGGTGGCACATCCCTGTAGTCCCAGCTACTCAGGAGGCTAAGTTGGGGGGATGGTTTGAGCCTGGGAGGTCAAGGCTACAGTGAGCTATGATTTTGCCACTGCACTCCAGCCTGGGTGACAGGTCGAGACCCTGTCTCAAAAAATAAAATAAAATAAAATAATTTAAAATAATACTCCTTATACCATTACCAAGGCAACTATGGGATGTCTTAAAAGTACTGAAAAGTACAACCATACTTATATTTTCAGTTTACATTATGATATAGAAAAATTCTTTATAAAGCTGTATTTACCATAAAGTTTTATTTACAGCTAAGAGGGAACATATTAATTTACATGAAAAACAGGAAATTCATTTGCCTTTCCTAAGCTAAATAATCTACATTAAATATCAGGCATAAAGAAGATATGTTAAAGGCATTATTGGACGTCAGAAAACCTTTTTCAGATGGAAATGTAAGGTGTGGTTTCTAGGTTTAAATGTCAGCATCAGCTGGGCACGGTGGCTCACGCCTGTAATCCTAGCACCTTGGGAGGCTGAGGCAGGCAGATTGCCTGAGCTCAGGAGTTCAAGACCAGCCTGGGTACACGGTGAAACCCCATCTCAACTAAACACAAAAAAATAGCCAGGTGTGGCAGTGTGCACCTGCAGTCCCAGCTACTCAGGAGGCTAAGGCAGGAGAATTGCTTGAACCCCAGAGGCAGAGGTTGCAGTGAGCTGAGATCCTGCCACTGCACTCCAGTCTAGGCGACAGAGCGAGACTCTGTCTCCAAAAAAAAAAAAAAAAAAAAAAACAGTGACTGGGCATAGTGGCTCACTCCTGTAATCCCAGCACTTCGGAAGGCTGAGGCTGGCAGATCACGAGGTCAGGGGTTCGAGCCTGGCCAACAAGCGAACCTGCACTCAAGCCTCAAGTGGCAGGGCAAGACTCCATCTCAAAAAAAGATTAAAAAAAATGTCAGCATCATCAAGCATGAGCATTATCATAGAGAGTAGGATGTAAGAATAACTCAGTGACTTTGTCATAAAGTGTAAAGAAAACTGCCTCTCCACAGAGTGGTTGGCAGAATTAAGTGATTGCCTCATGAAAGGTGCCTGGCAGCTTGTCAGACACACAGACCAGACCCACATTACTTTTTAGTTAACTCTCACCTCATTCCCCAAGACCACGTTTATCCAACCCGCGGCCCAGGACGGCTTTGAATGTGGCCCAACACAAATTCATAAACTTCCTTAAAACATTACGAGATTTTTTTGCCTTTTTTTTTTTTTTTTTCTCATCAGCTATTGTTAGTGTTAGTGTATTTTATGTGTGGTCCAAGACAATTGTTCTTCCAGTGTGGCCAAGGGAAGCCAAACGATTGGATACCCCTGCGACTATCTTTAAGTGTGGTTTAATAAAACGAAGGTACAGCATGTAAATTAACATTACACAGGAGCTATTTTATAATTTGCCAGAAGAGGGTGCTACATCCAATGCAAATATCTAAAGACAGCAGAAAGGCAAAGGCTCTAAACTGAAAAGCAGCATCCTCCTTTGATCAAACGGAAGTACTCTGTCAATCTTTCAGAGAAGTCTATAAAGACATCCATGTTAGAGCACAGAATTGCTGAAAAAACGTCATGTGGGCCAGTCCTGAATCCTTTTGACTTTAGCACTCTAGAAAAGATATCTCAGAAGAGATTTTTTTTTTTTTTTTTGAGACAGGGTCTTGCTCTGTCACCCAGGCTAGAGTGCACCAGCGCAATAGGCTCACTACACCTCCACCTCCCAAGTTCAAATGATTCTCCCGCCTCAGCCTCCTGAGTAGCTGGGATTACAGATGCCCACCACCACACCTGGCTCATTTTTGTATTTTTAGTAGAGACAGGGTTTCGCCTTGTTGGTCAGGCCAATCTCGAACTCCTGACCTCAGATGATCCACCTGCCTCAGCCTCCCAAAGTGCTGGGATTACAGGCATGACCCACCACGCCCAGCCTTGAAAGAGATTTTGACACCACCTCTCCCATCACACACACACATTTTAAGGCATATCTATGGCATAAGGAAAGAAATGTGCCTTGGAACCATCAGGATGGTGTGAGGAACAACAAGTTAAATAATACATGTGAGGTCAGGCTCGGGGACTCACGCCTGTAATCCCAGCACTTTGGGAGGCCAAGGTGGGTGGATCACTTGAGGTCAGGAGTTCAAAACCGGTCTGACCAACATGGTGAAACCTGTCTCTACTAAAAATACAAAAATTAGCAGGGCGTGGTGGCGGGCTCCTGTAATCCCAGCTTCTTGGGAGGTCAAGGCGGGAGAATCACTTGAACCTGGGAGGTGGAGGTTGCAGTGAGTCGAGATCATGCCACTGCACTCCAGCCTGGGTGACAAAGCTAGACTCTGCCTCAAAAATAATAATATATGTTGTGAAAGTGCTCTCAAAAGCATACAAATCACATAGAGATGAGGAATTATTCTGGCAAGAAGTATAAAAGTGCTGGGCTTTATGTGAGCTAGGAAATTCACATAACATTTATTAAGCACCTACAATGTGCCAGACATTGTGCTCTGACTTTGACACAGGACATGGATTCCTGATAAGAAATATTTCCGGAGCTGGGCATTATATCCTTATTTTACTCAAACTTGAGTATGTATTCCATCTCTGTGACATACGTAAAAAAATATATATGTATATATATACACACACACATATATCTCTCTATAGATAAAATGTCTCTCAGTCTAAGTTTCTGAATTTAGAAAATGGGGATAAAAGCTGATAGTTGTCACATAAGGATCAAATGAAGATATTAAATGTGGAAGGAGAAATGTCATTTTTGCTGACTGGTTTGCTATATGGAGAACAGGATCACATACAACTTTAAAGTATAGAACAAATAAATATTTAAGTGCATTAATACTTCATCTTTCCTTTAAGAATGGACAGGAATAAAGATTTTGTGTTAAACAAAAGTAAAATTGAAAACAGGGGGAGCAGAGGGGAACAAATCCTGAAGACTGAAAAAACTGCCTAGAGAAAATTTCCTGGTCACAATCTTTGCCTTTGTTCCAGTCTGAATAGCAGAGTGTGCCCTCTGTTCGAAGTAGGTGTCTGCATTGGCAAAGAGGTACAAGTTGTACTTTTCTCTTCCTTTCTTGTGCCATTGTGAAGGGATGAAAAGAAAGTAAACCTGGTTCCGTTTCTGATAAATGATAATTATATGCATTTTCAAAGACCGGCAAATTACCTGGGCTAAATGCCATTTCTGGAAGCTTCACTTCGAAGATGATGCTGTGGGCAACGTCTCGCGCCCCCTGCATGGTACGGTCACGGAAGCAAAGAACTTCAACAGACTGGAAACTGCTACTCCTGTTGTCATGCCCGGATTTTTATTTATTTATTATTTTTTTTAAAGGAAGGAAAAGAAAAAGCTCACATAAGAGCTTCAGCAAACCAGTTGGAGAGAATTCAATGCATTGTAATTATGCCTCTCTGATACCCACAGGAGATGGCCTTAACTCTTTTGAACATATTCATATACGGTTCCTCTGTCCAAGTGTTTAGAGGCTGAACAACGAATTGGCTGTGATTTCTTTCTAGGTGAATTTTATATTACAGTCATATTGCACATAAATAATTCTGACAAATCTTTTAAATGCAAGGAAAAAATGCTCACAAGACATTTAGAAAAAAAACTCTTTAAGATGTGGGTTCTTTTGGTTCCCTCCGCTCTCCCCATATGAACTTCCATATTAAGCAGTAGCACCTCAGTCAGTAGTTAGGAAGCCCATTTGCACTATGTAGACTTACCATCTGGATAATTGTAGATTGTCTCCCTCAGAGCACAATCTATAATTTATCTATCTTCATTTTTTAAATAAACATTTTTATTTAAGTAAAGCAGACACATTACACAAATCCCAAGTATAAAGAAGGCTGTCTCATGCCTTCTCTCAGTCATTAACCACTGCCTTCAAAAGTAACAACTACTTTAAGTCCATATATTGGTTTTGCCTATTTTAACTATACATAAATGGAATCATAGAGTATGTATTATTTTAGGTCCAACTTATTTCACTTAATACTATGTTTTTAAAATTCATTCATGTTGATTTCTGTATTAATAGTTCACTCAGATTCATTGTAATGCAGCATTTCATCGTAAGGGATATACTAAAATTTACTATTCATTTCACTATTGAAGAACATGTGGACTATTCCCAGTTTTTAGTTATTGAGCATAATGCTTCTGTAAACATTCTTGTATATGTGTTTTGCTTCTATCTATGTATGTATTTCAGTGAGTTATATACTTGAGAGTAACATTGCTGAGCCATAGATATTTTTAATTTTGGTAGATACTGCCCAACATTTTTCCAGCCGTATTTGCTCCACATCTTCGACAACACTTGGTATGGACGTTTTTGTTAAATACTTTTGGTGGATATGTAGTAGCATCTCATTATGGTTTTCATTTTTATTTCCTTAATGACATGATGTTGGGCATCTTTTCAAATATATATTGGCTTTTAAGATATCCTCTGTTTTAATTGTTTTAGGGTTAAGAAAAAATGGAGAATGACAGCAGTAGGAAAATCCTATCTGAAAGAAACCCAGACAGCTAGAAGGGAGGGCTACAGAATTTGTGTCAGGACCTCTGGCTACCAACTCTACCATACGCTAAAACATCTTTAGCACAGAATGATCAGAGTATGCAGGTCCCTAACAGACCTGCTTAAGGTTCACTAGTATGGAAATTGGGTTATGACTGATTCATTGATTACCTGATTTCCATGCCCAAAATGGAAAAAAATAAAATAAAAGCATTTAGGAAAACAGAGATACAAATAGAAACAGACACATTGTAAAACACATACTGACAAAGGCAGACAGACAGACAAACACACACTCTTGTAAATACCATCTGTGGGCTGCTAGGACCAAAAAATTCCTCAAAGGCCATCCAGGGTACTGGGCTAAGTTACAGGGATCATATACACCAATTGTTATCTGTGAACAAAAAAGACTTTCTGAGTGAGTCAAGTATCATCTCAGCTTCACAATACAGATGTTGCTCATACTTCCTCTTTTTTTTATGCTTTCTGCAAAGCCTTAAAAATTAGACATCTGGTAAAGGGCTAAGGGGAGGAGAAGAAAGCCACAGGATCTCACACTGGACTACAGAACTTCTTGATGGCAGGGGTTATCAAATTCTTGTCTGCTTCCCTGTGCCTTGCATTGGGCCTGGCAGAAAGTAGGAGCTAAATACATTTAGAAGGAAAAAAGACTAGAAGGAAGATGGGGAATGAAGGAGGACAGTCAAGTGGGCTTGCAGAGAAAATCCTCTTGTAAACAAAGAAATATAATCTGTGAAACTGACTCATTTTTATGCAATGAGAAAATCAAAGAAGGGCCACTGCTAATGTAAGTCTACAATCAGATCAAGTTAAACAGCCAGTTACCCTTGATTTTGCTAACATATATTTCCTCCCTTCCCTTTCCCATCCCACTCCAATCCTGATCTTCATCTGGAAAACTCTACTCAATTTAAAATACCATTTCTTCAGTGAAGTCTTCTCCTGGCAGAAGTAGTTGACCTGTCCTTGCTGCTTCCATAGCTCTTTGAACCTTGTGTATAACATTTTTCATTTTTCTGTCTCCTTCCTTTCAAAGACAATGAGCATCCAGCACCCAGATACTGACTTCTAAATACCATTCTCCAAGAAAAGAAATCAGGGCTCCTTGGACACATGGTTAATTCTAGGGCTCAGGCAGGGAAAATACAAGAGAAGCTTGGAGCATCTTATAATACCAGGAAAGGAGGTACTCAAAAAACAAATGAATTGGGGCATGCCAAGGGGATACAGGCACCAACTGAAAGAGTTCTCAATGGTCAAGGCTGGCACAATTTGTACAACAATATAAATAATATGATGTTGAATTATAACCCAAAGTATAGAATAAGTATCTATGAGTCCACACTGATATAAATAAAGAATGGAATAAATGTGAAGGGACAAGTCTTCCTTAAAGAAAATTTCTAAACAATATATGCAAATACTGCCCTCTTCAGAAGCAAAATTTAACCCTTCCCCTCCTTAAAGGTAGCTGGAATTAGTGATTTACTTCCAAAGAAAAAAACAGTAACTTTACAGTGGAGAAACCTGGCAAATATTACCTTAACCAAGTAATCAATTTAACATTAGCAAGGATGTCACGTGGATATCAGGTGATAACGGTATTTCACTCTGTGGTATTCTTTCCTAAAACCCATAATAACCCCAAGTCTAATCACAAGAAAACATCAGACAAACGCAAATTAAGGGACATTCTATAAAAATAACTAATCAGTACTCCTCAAAAATGTCAAGGTCATCAAAAAAATCAAAGAAAGCCTGAGAAACAATTACAGATCACAGGAAACTAAGGAGACACGACAACGAATTGCAATGTGGTATCCTGGACTGGATCCTAAACAGAAAGAGGGAATTATAGGAAAAAACTGGTGAAATTGGAGATGTCTAGAGTTGAGTTAATAGTAATGTAAAAATTCTGGCTTCTTAGTTTTGACTAATGAAACGTGGTGATATAATGTGACAACATTAGAGAAAACTGAAACCGGGTGAAGGTATATGGTAATTCTCTGTACTGTCTTTGCCACTATCTTCTGTAAATCTCAAATTATCCCAAAATGAAGTTTATTTTAAGAAAAGGAAGACAAAGAGCATCTGGAGAGCAGAGAGTATCTTTTTCATCTCTCCATGATCAGTTCATAAATACAGAGCAGACACTCGGTGAATGTTTTTGAATAACAAAGTAGATGGATGGATAAATGGGTGGAAGAAAGGAAGGAAGGATGTAGAGTGAGTAGGGGTGAGGGAGAGAAATTGCTGGCAGAGAACCATAAATTGACCCATAGGTTTCCTTCATAAGCATAGTATGGGTTAAATGAAATCACAGCTGATACGTTTTTGTTAAATCTAGATCCAGTTAGTTCTGTAAGGATGGAATCACCCTAAACACTCCCTTTTATTTCCCACAATGCTTGGTATAGTATCAGCCACAAAGTAGGAGCTTAACTAATATTCAGAAGAATATCTATAACCCCATTATCCTGAAAGAACTATTAACATCTTGGTATATAATTGCCCATAAACTTATTCTTTGCATAAATATATTTTAATTACTAGGACTTTGAAACAAACATGGGATGATGCTGTAAATACTGTCTTTGTTGTTGTTGTTTTGAGACAGAGTCTCACTCTAGACCCAGGCTGGAGTGCAGTGGCATGATCTCGGCTCACTGCAACCTCTACCTCAAGGGATTCAAGCAGTTCTAGTGCCTCAGCCTCTCTAGTTCCTGGGACGACAGACAGGCGTGTGCTACCATGCCCTGCTAATTTTTTGTATTTTTTCAGTAGAGATGGGGTTACACCATGTTGGCCAGGTTGGTCTCGAACTCCTGGTCTCAAGTGATCCACTGGCTTTATCCTCCCAAAGTGCTGGGATTGCAGGCATGAGTCACTGTGCCTGGCCTAAATATTGTTTTATATCTCTTATTGTATTATGAACTGTCTTCCATGCCAGTAAATGTTCTACAACCATTGTGAGTCATGGCTGAATGGCATTCCATTGAATTGATGTACCGAACTTTTTCTATTTCCTTTTGAAGGACAATTAAGTAGTCTTAATCTGCTCAATCTCTGAAAATGAATTTTACTATGGTCTTATCAGATAATTACTGTATTATTTCAAAGACACTCTTTAAAATATTTGCTACCTTTTCTGTTATATACAATTTTCTTATTCCTAAAATTGAAGCATTTTTTGTCTAAATGCGTGTTCATTTCTTAAACGCAAATAGACAGATTCATATTTAATTTAATACAAATATGTTCATAGCTATGGTCATCCTTTCAGGAAATACCTTTATTTGAGATTTCCTTTTCCACAGAGATAAGGTTTCAGCATCTAAGGTTTACAGCATCTAGTAAAAATAGAGCTTACTACACTGAGTAGTCTCTTACTAAATGAGGCCTAGGGAAAAGTACTCAACCCTCCAAGCCACAGTTTAATCATGGAGGAAATAATATATTACTTATTTCATAGAGCTGTAGTGAGGATTAAATGAGCTGATACTAAATATGAAAAGTCCAGCACATACATAGTGCTACTAATATCATTATTGGTGACAGACTCAGAATCTCCAGTGGTGAGTCCAGCAATCTGTATCTTTATCTGTACCAGGCTCCTGAATTATTCTGATGCGGCTGGTCCACTCCATGCACTCGAATTTGGGGCATATTAGAGAGGGTGCTCTTACAGACAAAAGAAAACATCTCTGAACTGTCATTATCTTGAAAACTCTGAACTGGCTCTACATCTTCCCATGCTCCTCAAAATGTGGTCCATGCCCCAGCAGCATGCATGCATCAGCCTTCCCTGGGAGCCTTCAGAAAAGCAGAATCCCAGGTCCCCACCCCAGACCTGCTGAATCAGAGTTTGCATTTTAATAAGAATAAGAACCCAGGTGATTAATACACCAAGGGAAGTTTCAGAAGCACTGTTCTTCCTCAACCTTTTAATAGCCATGGGTCTCACACTTGAAGATGCTTGCGTATCAAGTGCAGAGCTATCAAAAATACTGCTGCCTGCGTCCCACCTCCAGAGGTTCTGGTTTAATTGATCTAGAGTTTGGCTTGAGTACTGGTTATTTGAAAAGATCCTCAGGTGATTCTAATGTGCAAGTTACAAACTTCTTGATTGTCTGCAGCAGTTTCTCAAAGTATGGTCTGGCACAGACCACCTGCATCAGAATTGCCTAGAAGCTTGACGAACTTACACAACACCCTACCCACACACATACACACACTCAATCTGATCCCAGACCTCTCTAGGTACCACCAATACCTGCATGTCCAGTGACTACTGCATGTGATTCTTGTGTACACTATCATCTTAGCACTAGCTGTCTAGAGTCAAAAGAAGAAAATGAGTATTTACTTAAAAGAGGATTCACTGCATAAATATACACAATTGTAAGAAATTCCTGACTTTAGAAAAATTAAAATATGGAGAAACAAGCATTTTAGAATAAAGAAAACACAGGATGCATTTTATGTTTGATGTCTTGCTGGTTTAGAACTCTCTGTGAAGGCAGGAGCAGTGTATTCATCTTTCCATTTCTAGTTACCTAAGCACAGTGCCTGATAGTCAGCAAGTATCTATTGAACAGATGACAGACTAGTAAATTTCTCCAGGCTTGAATACATGGACTCCCCCTCTGCAAAGATGTTGAGCAGGGATCCTGGGAGGCAGTTAGAGGGGGAAAAGTGATGCCTGAGTGACACAGACCTGAAGCTTCTATACAAAACCGTGATGCAGCATCTCAGCAAGTTCCTTTTCCTTCCTTCTTTCCTCCCTCAACATTACAGGGTCTCATGGCATTTTAACCCTGGGATTCTCCTAGGTGAGAATGTGAAAGTAAGATGAACAAAAAAAAAAGAGGGGCTTCCAATGAGAAGCGAGAGAACTCTGAGAACAAGATTTCCAGTCTAGGGCTTCCACCAAATTAAGAAGTTGTCTTCCTTGAGCTCTTCTGGTTCATGTGGCCACCCCATTTGCTACTCTTCCACCAGGGACATCTTTTTATTTTGTTCCCCTCTGCCAATTACGACAGATAGCGTCTGCCAGACAAACTACATTTATTTAGCAATCATCGCATCAATTTCACATTGCTTTTATTCATAAAAAGCATTTACAACTCTAGGCCAGGCGCAGTGGCTCACACCTGTAATCCCAGCACTTTGAGAGTCCAAGGCAGGCAGATCACGAGGTCAGGAGATCGAGACCATCCTGGCTAACACGGTAAAATCCTGTCTCTACTAAAAATACAAAAAATTAGTTGGGCATGGTGGCGGGCGCCTGTAGTCCCAGCTACTTGGGAGGCTGAGGTAGGAGAATGGCGTGAACCTGGGAGGCAGAGGTTGCAGTGAGCCAAGATCTCGCCA